AAAATCGTTTAAATCTTGGGGTGGTCGCTATGGGGCAGCAACTTGATTTCGAGTTTTCGGTTCCACAGTCGCACAATTTTAGAGGAAAATCTGGTGGTTATCGAATTGAACAAGGCTGAAATAACGTTAACAAACCTCTGTATGTAGGGCAGGCAATTCTAGACCTATCGAAACTAGTCATGTACGATTTTCATTACACCTATATGCTACCAAAAATGGGTGCAGAAAGGTGTAAGCTCATGTACATGGACACAGACAGTTTTATCTACGAATTGCAATGTGAGGATGCATATGAGGAGATCATTAAAGCTGATTCCAGTAAATTTGATACTTCGGATTATCCTGAAAATAACATATATAAAATACTGCGTAAGAACAAAAAGGTGCCGGGTCTAATGAAAGATGAAAATAACGGTAAAATTATGACACATTTTGTTGGACTTCGAAGCAAAATGTATAGTTACAAGGTGCAGGGTGGAAGGTGGTTAAAAAATCTAAAGGGGTTAAGTACAATGTTGTTAAAAATAAAATTGCATTTGAGGATTATGTTGAATGTTTGAAAGAATTTAAGGAAAAAACAGCTACACAACGCTGTATCAGGTCGTATGCACACAACGTATATTCTGTTGAACAGTCAAAAATTAGTTTAAGTCCGTATGACGACAAACGTTATTTAATTCCGAACAGTTTTGACACACTTCCGTGGGGGCATTACAGTATCTTATAATAGCGTTTTTTTTTTGTTATAGATGAATGCCCCAACATTATCAGAGTTAGCTGTTAGAAAAATTTGCGAATCAATAACATCATCAGCAGTAGAATTCATGGAGCAGTCTCCACTACCATGGAAATTAACTACGGAAATTGTGAAACAATTTCCTTTATATAAATGGCACGCTATGATTAAAGAAGCCAAAAATGATCTTGATTCTTCATATACAGGAATTAACTTTATTAGATGTCACAAAGAAATAGATCCAAATTTAATTCACACTATATTAGGAAAATCAGATTGGGGTTATGTTTTTGAAGATTATTCTAGTTACTGTCTATGGACAAGTGGATATTGGCTGGACCAATATTACCTACACGTATGTAAAAATTGTTTATCTAAATTTAAAGAAATACATAAAACTTTAAATAAACGTTTATTTGCCTGCTATGACCATTCTCACGAGGTTCACGATGCACATGACATTATTTTGAACGTATACCAAAAAAAGTATAATTGGTGTCACAGCTGCTTTAAAAGCGTAGTGTTTGAACTAAAAGACCAGGAATCTTGCAGAGATGCCTTACATGATAGGTCTAGAAATAACATCCGAATCCGATTTGATGAATCTGATGTAGACAGCGATATTGAGTTTTAAAAAAACATCACAGCAAACAAATTACAAAAAAATATATAAAAAGCGTTCATCCGTCCTCCAGTTTCTCTCTATCTATTGTACTAACATTTATATATATATTTTTTTTCAAACATGTATGTAGTACTAACATTTATATATATATATATATATATTTTTTCAAACATGTATGTAATTAGATTTAATAAATGAATATTTATAAAAAAATGTTTTATTGATTTCGTTAGATTTTTCTAGTAAGAAGAGTTCACAACAACAAGATGTCCTGATAGCTTGAGTCGTCAGAGGTGTGCAACATCAGAAGCAATGTTAGTGCGTGGTTGGAGTTCAAAACTTAGCGTGTTCAAAAACAAAAAAAAAAACACGCACACACATAATACTAACATTACTTCTGATGTTGTGGCGCGGTTCTTCGAGCTATCAAGACATCTTTTTGGTATTTTTGAACAAAGTGTGCACGTCACGTGCGTCACGTATCACGTCACGTGCGTCACGTATCACGTCACGTGCGTCACGTGTCACGTCACGTGCGTCACGTGTCACGTCACGTGCGTCACGTGTCACGTCACGTACGTCACTTGTCACGTCACGTCACGTGTCACGTTACGTGACGTATATCATAATGAAACGACAGATATGCATTTTTACAAAAACTTTATTAAAATCGTTCAAGATCATTAGCGATCCTATGTCTATAGAAAAATATATGTTGTCCTAACGCTATATGTTGTAAAGTACAGCCTACGAGCTTAAATGTATACAATTTTTGAATAGCATCTGAAAACGTATAATTTTGATCATTAAAACTAGCTCGAACAATCTTAAGCGCATTATAATAATAGCTTGGAAATTCAACAGTTTCTAGCATAGACATATACGGTACTAAAAGTTCATTATTTGCTTCTAAAAGAGCGTTCACGTCCATTTCTGAGAGGTAGAAACTAATGTTGTGCTTGGTTATTTCGAGAATTTTCGTACTATCATAGATTAGTCGTCGAATTCTGCAATAGTCACCGCACTCGATTTCGACAGGATCATACTTGTCAGGAAGGTTCTTCTCCTCCTCCTGCTCCTCCGTCTCCTTCACCGTTACCACATTGAGCTGGGTGATTAATTGTTCCCACTCATAGGAACTGAAAGATAGTTTCAACCGTGATGAGTTCCACACAATTACAGCAGGAGTAAATGATCTCGCTGGGCTTAGACCGCATCCAATTTGGTATGATCCATTTGGAAACTGCGTGTACAGCAGATAATGGTCCTCGTTCTTGGCCGCTTCTTCGTACCTTTCCAGAATAGCATCCAGCTCACGGTCGTAGTTTACAGATGATTCGTGTGAGCTGCTGGTGGTGAGGTCAAACTCGCTGCAACTTGAACCACTACCACTGGTATCCATTTTTTTTTTTTTACTAGCTGCCTGACTGACTGACTGACTGACTGCAACCGACTGAGAACTCACTTTTAGCAGAAACCCCCCCACCCCATACACCTAGACGATCGCATCATTGTCAATCCAACTATTATGTTTTGCATCAAGGCCAAGCCATTTGACGTACATTTTTTTACCTTTACGACGTAAAACTTTTTCAACTAAATAAACATCTGGATTGGCTGTTTTCTGTAATTCTTCGTCATAAAAGGCTCCTTTGATCGGTGCACCTTGCATATCTTCGAGCATGTACGTTGCAGGGTTGGTAATATTAATTTTAGTAACTTTAAATAATTCCGTTGTCCAGCTTGGAACGTATCCCTTGTCGAATAGCATTTTGGTTTTGCTGATGCGTACAATGTCACCAACTTTAAACTTACGCGGGCCCGCGATTTTTAAATGAGTATATTTTCGATTTAAGATACATTTTTCGTTGGATTTATTAATTTGTGATGGTTTACATCCGATGGTTTGATGACGTGTTCCATTGTATTCATTGGTAATGCTTTGTAATATATCAATCCATTTATACGATCCCATTAAGCTAAAGTATTTGTAAAGTTTATTTTTCAACGTCCTTATGGCTCTTTCAGCAATGGCCGCTTTCTTGATGCTATATGTACTATAATGATTAATATCATGCTTCTTCATTAAAGTTTGAAATTTACTATTGTAAAATTCTTTACCTTGATCAGATTGTAGATTTTTCGGCGTACGTTCCGTATGTGCGAGGATATCCGAAAACGCACGAGTTATCTCCTCACCCGTCTTTGTCTTTAACGGTCTAGTCCACATAAACTTGGAAAAAGAATCGATTACGACGAGAATTAATTTGAAATTTTTATTTTGATGAGCATAAGGTCGCATTTCAGCCAAGTCCGTCTGCCATAAATCGTCTAAGCCTTTAATGATGGTACGTCGTCTTAGATAATTTTTTCGAGCAGGCTTGTGCAGCTCGTTAACTAGTTGTAGCTTCTCCTTGGCGTACGTCATCATGTTTTAACGCTTTAAATTGTTGTTCCATCGGCTTTATACGCTTAGCAAGATCGAATGTTTTCAATGATATATATGATGTGCGTCCTTGCAAAAGTTGTAATTCATTCAATGATATTTTTCCTTATTGGAGTCAAATCGGTATGAGACTTAATTGTAGCCAACTCCTGTTCTATTCTTGTTGTTATATTTGCAATAGAGTCATCTACATATTTTTTTGTTGCCATATGTTTACCAGAAGTAGGCGGATTTCTCGAAATAAACTTTGTTATTTGATCTGTTTTTGCTGTTATTTTTTTTAAATCAATCACTGAAGTATCTACGTATTTTTTAGTTGCCGCATCTGAATTATCTGTGGGATCTTTTATATTACACAACTTTACGTTCTTGAAGTCAACATTTCCATCAGAAGTATGGGGTAGTGTTAACTTTGGCGGTGTACGCATATACGGAAGTGTCTTTTGTTTATCAAAGCGACGTCCGAATTTATCAAGACTCATCGTGTAAATGAAAGACCAAGGAACTAGATTACTGTATTATATTAGCTTCTTTTAGCTCGTTGAGGATGGCTACTATTTCATTATCATGCGACGTATTGCCAGCTTCCTGAGATGCCATAAGGAGTTTAAGTCGATCGATTAATTCATTGGGATCATCCCAGTACACGTATTCGATTGGTTCCTCGTTGTATGTCAAGTAATCACCGATACCTTTTCCTGTTGGCGGTTTTGATGTTGATGATGTTGTTGTTGTTGTTGTTGAGGGAGTGGATCTTGTTAATGATCGACTAAGTGGACTACGTATTTTTGTAGATGTTGATCGTGTGACAATTGTACCTTTATTTTTCTGCACATCTTTAAAGAGAGGCTTAATAATGTGATTATATTTAAATCCTGTCGAACCTTTTAGGCGTCCAAGCGAATCTAAATGAACACCGGTACTTTGCAATAGATTTTTATAGGGTTGTAAATCTGCATCTGCATAGTTTGGGTCATTATAGAATAAAAGTTGATACAGCCCAGGTGTGCCACGAAACCATGTACCTGCTAAGTTTGTCCCCTCAGGTAATATCTGTATTTGGCCAGTCGCTCTATCAAATTTAATTCGGCGTTTACCTAACATCCAACCAATGTTGTCGGTATATATAGGTCCATATTTTTTATCAATTTTATCGTTTTGTGTCCAAAAATCTTGTAAATAATTATGGCTTATTGGGGGATATTGATCTAAGTATTCTTCTATTGCTTCTTGTGAAAAATCAGCAGGACGCATTTCTTCAGGTAGTGGTGGTGTTTCAGGTCTCGGCGGTATATTACCTTGTTCATCAGTTGAAGCCACGTCTTCTAAATTGAGATAGTTTGGGTTCTGTGTGAATACATCATCATCATCATCATCATCATCCTGTTTCAATTTTTCCTCTTTTTTAATAATAAATGAAGGATGCTGCTGAGTCTTAGCTATTTGCTTAAGAGGTTCAGATATTGGTTTGAAAAGTTTTCTAATAGATTCATCTTCTGCAGTTCGACCTAACTTTAAAGTAAGATACTTTTTACGTATAGCTCGAGCAAGTTCTGCGATCTTTCTTTTATGACTAGCAACGGCAACTTGGTCCTTTGACATCATGTTACTGAATGATGGCGTACATGATAAGCCTACAATTTTATGTACTTATCAAATCCTACTCTGTATCGACCATAATTAAGAGGAAAGTCTTTAACAATAACTAACGTACCGTACTTTTCTGCCCAACATTCCGAACACATCTTTTTGAATTCATCAAAAGTAACATCTGGAGATACATGCTCATCAAATATATGTTTTAGATTAATTTCATCCTGCTTAAATAGTACTATAATGTTACAGTTGTCTCGTATGAGCTGTTTTGGAATTTTAGAGTATGTTTGGCAGAGATATGCAGCATCGATATCTTTATGACGACACATGGAGTAATACTCTCGAATTTTCTGCTGACCGTCACACGACACGTCGTCAAATATAAATATAGAGCTATTTTTAGCCTTACTTGGACTTATAATTTCCTCGTTATCCTTAAATGGGAAATAGCCAACACCCTTAGCAGCGGAAATCACTTCTTGAAGCAGTTGATACTTTGGTTGATACAACGATTTTGAATAAACGTAAACATTTTTAAACTTAGCACCGTTTGGATGGAAAAGCAGCGCCAGCATTACGTTCGTTTTTCCACATCCGCTTGGTCCGCAGATGATAGCGCGAAACGAATTCGGTAACAATTTACCATGTTTACTATGTTGAGTTTTTGCTATAAAATCCAAGTTATCAATGGGTAATGACTGCTCTTGTTGAACAACCTTCATCGTGTGGCGTTCGAATAAGGAATGTGTAAAAGTATATATGTAGATATTGCTAACGCATCATCAACAGTTCTCATGTTAACGTACAAGGGTGAAGGTGTTGTAAACTCTCTGATAAATAATCTTCCGATAGAACTCCACGTACCTTCGTATCAGTTCCTGGGACGTAAGTGTGCGACAGATTAGGATATTTTTTTTTTCATTCTCACACATGTATATGTATATTTTCAGCGGGGACTAAATTAAAGAAGAGGTTAGCACGAGGAGATCCTGGAAAGAACCCATTGGATCGTGCTGCAAGAGACCACGATATTGCATACGCCTTATACAAAAATGTGAAAGACAGGCACAAAGCTGATTGGATTCTTGAGAACCGAGCCTGGGAACGTGTAAAAGCACCTGACGCTTCACTAGGAGAAAAGACTGCAGCTTGGCTAACAACTACCGCAATGAAAGTTAAGCGAAAATTGGGTATGGGGCAGAAGAAATCATCTTTTCGACGAGGTGTTCTCACGAAAATCACAAAGTCCTTGAAGAAAAATGCTCCCACCACCACGACATTAAAAAAGTCTGCATTGGTTGCTCTTAAAGCGGCAAGATTAGCGGTGAAGAGTGCAGGTGGAAAACATAAAGTTCGACTACCGAGAATAATTCCGATCGAAGGAAAATCTGGGGGATTCCTACCCTTGATCCCCCTTTTCGCCGGATTAAGTGCCTTGGGGGCGCTCGTAGGGGGAGCTGCAGGTGTGGCCAAAACGGTCGTTGATGCCAAGAATGCACAAAAGAAATTGGAGGAAGACCATCGCCATAACAAAGCTATGGAGTCTTTGGGCAAAGGATTGTATTTGAGAAAAAATGCTAAAGGTGGTTATGGGTTGTACCTCAAAAAAAAACTCAAAAAAACTAAACATCAAGCTACCCAAGAAAGCGCTTTATGATTATGAAATAAAGCAATATGCGAAGCTCTTGAACATACCTCATTTCCGAGGTGTCTTCATGCGTGACACTTTACCACGAGACGGTCCACGTAAAAGAGAATGCGCCGTCGTGAACTTAGATATTTCACAAAACAACGGAACTCATTGGGTAGCTTATAAAAAGATAAACAACAACGTTGAGTATTTCGATTCATTTGGTAACCTGAAGCCTCCACAGGAACTTGTTCGATATCTGAAAAACGCTAAAATTTTCTACAACAACGATCCTTACCAAACTTATAATCAAGTTAATTGCGGACAATTGTGTTTGAAATTTCTAAACAATAACAACAACAACAACGATGGATAATAAAACATTATCGGAATTTACATTAGAAGAGTTTGAGAAGAATATTCCGCCGCTGGAATATTTAATAAGCAATGTGAGACCTGCAGAATTATTGAGTATATGGCACAAACTGCCTGCAGAATACACATCCAATTTTGATCTTCAAATACGACTTCCATGCTATGTTCACTACAACAGACCTGATTGGACAACACATTGGGATGGACCGGCTACTGCTCAAGCAAATTGTTATTTCTGTAAATTATCCATTCGAAAATAAACAAAAAAAAAAACTTGAATAAATGCTTAGTACACAGCTATATTTTTTCATTCATCATGTCGCAGTTGTTGAGAGTCAATAGCACTACTCATATATTTTCATTTCGTCCTTCAACACCGATAGTGTTGGATCCGAAAAAAGATTATGAATTGGCGCTTAGGTCTTTTACTTCATACAATTCCATACCGAATATTGAAAAAGGAGATAAATTTTATTATATCGACCGGATAGGTGGTGGTGGTCAATTAAAAGTCATCGAGTTTCCGACAGGTTGTTATGAAATTACCGACATAGAAACATTTATACGAACGCAAATGAATCTTGAAAATGAAGTTGCTCCTCCGGATGATTATTTTTCTCTAAAACCTAACAATAATACACTGCAATGTGAAATCTTTAGCAAGTATTATAAAATAGTTTTTACAGAACCGAATAATCTTGGACATCTATTGGGATTCTCGAAAAAAGTTCTTAATCCTGGTCAAAAGCATTCTTCTGATTTACCTGTAAACATAATAAAAGTATCAACCATACACTTTGATGCTAACATTACGTCGGGAGCCTTTGACGGAGACACGCCTGCACACACGATCTACGAATTTGCTGTGACAGCCGATCCTGGATACGCTATAGTCGAAACACCTGTAAATTTACTATATCTACCTGTTATACCGAAACAAGAAATAACCAACATCACAGTGTTGGCTTTAGATCAAGACGGTCGTCCTGTAAACTTTCAAGGTGAAACTAGTACTCTTGTGTTGGAGTTGAGAGCGAAGCGCAGATGGGATTAGTGATTATAAGACATAGTGGTGCTTCCAAGGCAACTTCAGTATTACCCCAAGCACCTAAGCGACGACATCTACTACTAACTACATCAAATATCCTGTTTCTACGCTCACTTGGATATCATGTCAACAACAACAAGAATCATGTACAAAAAGAGAAAAACTGAGGAGGCAGCAGCAGCAGCATCACATACTTCTCCGATGTTTGATCTATATCGATCTCCAGCATTCGATGAATCTATTCGCAAGGCTGAGTATAGATCTTATACGCCGTTCATCAAGTCATTTAATTGTAATGATGTTGTGGAATTTAGCATCAATCAAGTAGATTCGTTCTTTGCAATGAACGCTTCCCTTCTATCTATCAAAGGAAAAGTTGAAATAACTGGAGGAGGAGGAGCAGGAGATGTATCTTTAGCTCCAAACTTTGGTGCCTTCCTATTTGACTCTTGCACTTACAGTGAATCCGCTAGAGAAGTTGAAACAGTACGTGATCCTGGTATTGTAAGTACTGTCCGAGCTTACGTATGTTACAGTGAGGAAGACTCAAATCATATGGCTATAGCTGGATGGAACTATCCTTCAACACCTATAATGGCGTCAACACATAACAAGTCTTTTAGCTTGCTAATGCCGCTTAAACATATTTTCAACATTTTCAATGATTATCCTATGATTACGTGTGGCAGACAAACTCTCAGATTTGTGAGAGCTAGAAACGATAACGATTGTATCATTATCAAGGAAAAAACTGGAACGACGACGACAGCGAAAATAACTATTGAAAGCATGGAACTGAAAATCAAACATATTTACCCGAGTGATGATGTGAAAGAACAACTTTTGAAAGCTATTCAAACTGATAAGCCGATACTTATACCGTTTAGAAAATGGGATCTGAATGAACTGCCTGCAATTACCGCAGATGCGAGAAGAGAAATATGGTCAGTTAAAACTAGCACCGCAATCGAAAGACCACGTTTCATTATAGTATGTTTCCAAACCGGTAAACGTGACGTCGCAACCTCAGACCCTACCCTGTTTGATCACGTGAATGCTGCTAGTATTCGAGTATCTTTAAATGGTGAATACTATCCCAACGAACGTATGCAATTGGACTTTGCAAACAATCACTTTACTGAAGCTCATTTCAACTATAGCGACTTTCAAACCAGCTATACAACTTCTTCTTCTCCTCTGAAGAGATGTCTTTTAGATTATACCGCTTTTAAAAATCGCGCTTTGTTTGTTATTGACTGTTCCAAACAAGAGGAAACCATGAAATCATCAACTGTTGATGTTAGATTGGATATCGAAGCCGATACTGGCTTTCCAACCAACACCAAGGCCTACTGCATCATTATACATGACTGCTTAATCGAGTACTTCCCCCTCACCGAAGTTATTAAAACCATCTCGTAAGCAACGAAGGACTCTCAGTTCCGCATCAGACATCATGAGGATCGCGTTTGTTGACATTCAAGGCTTTACAGTTGACGGATTATTCGTACCTAAAGAACTATGTATCGAAATTGGTTTCAAGAAAAGTCATTACATCTTTACACCTCCGCAACCTTTTTCTACATTAAATACTAAAGACAAGAAAACTGTCGCTTACTTGGAGAAGAATTTCCATGGGCTTAAATATTCTTCCGGCGACGTTAAATATTCCAAGTTAAATGAAATAATTAAAAATAAGGTGATATATGCGGCTGACTATGTCTACGTTCGTGGAGAACAGAAAGCAAACTTTTTACTCAAGAAATGTCACATTTTTGGTGTTTTTCCCAACATTATTGATGTTTGCAAGTATGATGGTACACCGTGTGCTACTGGAAACTTTGTTGCTGATTCCAATCCATGCCACACCAACGGACAATTTTCCTGTACCCAGAGAAATGTTGAACGTCTACGCCACTGGTTTTCAAATATCATATTACCTATGTAGTTTTTTTCTATTTTCAATAAAATATTAAACGTATTATTGTAGTTTTATTGAAAATACCTCTGGTTTGCGAAATAATTGTCAGAATGTCTATACTATTTTCATTTTGAACGGTATCATCCTGTATAATAATAACAGTACATCGTATACAGGTTATGAGACATTCTGACCGACCGACCGACCGACCAGAGGAGCCCACCACGCTATTTAGGTCACGCCTTGCTATATACGATTTAACGATATACCGTCGGTCCATCGATCCGCTATTTTTCGATGCACCCCTGTATACACGTTGCCCCCCGTAATCCACGCCAACACCAGACAGGTGCGACATCGGCGCCATCTATGCGCGAGATGCCCAACCCATCAATGGCAGCTGTCCAATGACGCATAGATTCCGTTAGGTTTGTACAGCGCCAAACAAATCGGCGCCATCTATGCGCGAGATGCCCAACCCATCAATGACAGGTGTCCAATGACGTATAACAGATGACGTTTTAACGCCATCTATGCGTGAGATGCCCAATGACGCATGACAGGTGTCCAATGACACACAGATTCCGTTTGGTTTGACAGCGCCATCTAGCGGCGGAATCCCCAACTCATGAATACAGATTCCGTCCAACAACCTGTCAATGGCGCGCGACGCCAGCGCCTCTGGTGGCGGATTTTGGAAGTTTTGAGACCGAATCCCCATAGACCATCTACTGAGGAGTAATTTGAAGGCACTCATTCACAATTCTTTGTGGCAGGTCTTCTAATGATGTTGTCTGAGTAGCATAGATTTTGCTTTTTAAATGACCCCACATAAAGAAATCCAAAGGTGATAAATCTGGCACCTCTTCTACCAATCCATCGATCTGGAAACGTCTGATCTAAATATTTTCAACCTATTCGCAATGTACCACCGATCATTCTGATTTTCAATTATGGCTGTTAATGCAGGATCTATGGCGTCTTCCAGTAATTCCAAATACATTTCACCTTTCAAATTTCCAGGTAAGAAAAAGGGACCAACTAAATGATCGCCAAAAATACCAGCCCAAACATAATTTTTGTGGCAGCTGTGTATGAACCGCATGATAAATTCTGGGATTAGAATCAGACCAATATCGGCAGTTATGACGATTTACTACGCCATTTAAGAAAAAGGAACATTCGTCGGAAAAGCAAGTGTTGAATCGAAAATGTTCATCGTTTACAATTCATTCACTCATATCTTCACAAAATTGTAATCGCCGATCAAAATCGTCTTCATTATGTTCTTGTACCAGGTGAATTTTATACGGATGAAAACTATGGGCCTTTAGAATCCGTTGGACAGTACGTCGACTAACACCACAGACAGTCTCTAATTTGCGGGTACTTAACGTAGGATCTACATAAACTTGCCCTAAAACCCCCACTTCTATTGCTTCGTTCCTTATGGGATTTTCAATGTTGCGTTCTTTATTGGCGACTGACCCAGTTTCCCGAAATTTAGCTACGAGTTCTAGAACATATTTTCGATGCACGTGACTGTTCTCATGTTGCTCATTAAATATTTCTGCTGTTCTATCAGCGCACTGATTATTTCCGAAAAATATTTCGATAATTTCAACTCTTTCTGCTGTGGAATATACCATGGTTAATTTATGTAATAAAGCGTTACACGTTATTTTAGCAACAAAGTTTGGTCAAATCAATCGCAAACTATGTACTAAATTCCTATTTAGAATAAGTACGAGATATTTCCTTATCTTGCTTCAAGAAATAACTTTTTTGCCACAGAAAAACGCTCCAATAGCTATTTTCAACATCAAAATGATAAACAAACCATGGGCGTGGTGAAGAAAAGCATTTACTTATTAAGTAAACTCTTAGTCAAATTTCTTCTGAAAGTAGTACAAACTAATCTGATGTTACCTTATAAGTTAAGGGTACTGTTGCCTGATTTAGGAATTGGGCTTACGGAATGAATGGCGTAAACAAGACTTACCTTTATTAAATAATTAAATAAATAATGTGACACATAGGGAAGAGATTTTTATCAATTATGTATATTTTATAAGAACACAAAAATGAAAATATCCAGTACGATTGAAATATTGAATTACAGCTTTTTCCTAACAAATCAACATATACAATTCGACAGAAGAGGTAAAATACAAATTCAGTAACGCAAGGCGATCACAGATAAACAACTGTCAAATATAACATGCATAACTTTAGAAGTTTTTCCATCTTAAATTGCACATTTCGATTGATATGAATTATATCAACTCATCTTTTAATATGTATATAATTATAATGTATTTTTAAATTATCTCAAAAACATTCAGCTAATTCTAAATGTAAACACCAAAGCTACACCACAGCACGGACACTCAGTCGAAACACGTCGAGTAAAATTCAAATAGTATCATCAACAAAGATTATAAAAATATATGTAGAGATTTTTCAGTTGATTACAATAACAAATAGTATAAAAAAGCAAGGAAACATAGCAATATTAACTAACTGAGAATCCGTATTGTGGCACGTTTAGTGCCTTGATTAATATTAAAATGGTCACACGAGGTGACAGTGATAGTACTAAAGTAAAAAGTCTAACATCCCTTCAGTGCAGTATTATACATAATATATCATAATAAGTTAGGAAGTATGAAGGCATATGGATAGTTTTATATTTATACAATTTTAAAAGTTTTTATTTCGATAAACGGCATCTGAACTCAACATTATGACTTGACTGCCCTCCAATTCGTAAGCAAACCATCATTGAGCATAATATTAAGTTCAAACACCTAAAAAGCTATTCAAAGTGAAAGATAGCTATCACAAATAATCGCTTATTAATATTCAGGGGCTCAACCCAAGAGACATTGGAGAATCATTATTTTATGGCTACATCTGATCAACAGAAAACTGTAATTCTACTATCAGAAGCCTCTGTAAAGCCTCAAAGTAAAAGCAAATTTACAGCGAATGTGTTATAAACGCGCCACATCTCTTTGTTAATTAGAATTCAGGATTTTCATGACTCGGACTAACATCGTTCTCTGCGACTTCGACTATGTTTGATTTAAATCAATCCTATATATACCGTTCACTCCTGGATTGACTAAAAGAGACGTAGAAGTTCACTAATGTAACACTCGAAACTTCTGCTGGTAATCCTCCATGCTTGTCTCACTGCTAAATAAGACCAGATATGTTTGAGATGCTGTTTACTGTTGACGACGTTTCGGCCCTCAACCGTGACCAATCAGAATTGTCATGTGGTTTCATTTAGCGGCCAGATAAACATGGCGATTAAGATTATGGGTACTTCGATCGAATCCCCGCGTTTTGACTAACCATTTCTGGAGTTAGCTGCCACCTTTGGATATTTTGGTTTGTTATACCTGTATGGTAATTCGTCGAGTCATACTCGCAATAATTTTGCGTTTACTTTGAACACATTTTTGAAGAAATTCGTTCACCACTCGATCATTCATGTTATGATGAAACAAAAAAATAGTCTCCAATCAATTCATAAAAGTAACACATCAAAAATTAAGGAGGCACGTCCATTTTTTAAGATTTTTCCAAACAATCTGTTTGCAGCAGTATTATAAATCCTTTTCGTCTGATAATTACATGGTGTGAATAGATATGACTAAAAAATGTTTTAATTTATTTTTGGAATAAATGCATTTTTGTGCATTTTATTGTGCATTTTTCTTCAATCGGAACTTGTTGACAAATATAAGGTACAGCTCCGAAATTGTGTGTGAATATTCCTCTTTTATGGAAGATTGAAACAAGTGATTACTTTTGTTCTTATCAATTTCCCTTTTCGAAAAATCTTTCATTTAGAGAGGTTTTTCGAATAAAAAAGCAATAAGAATAAAAAGTAATCACTTGTTTCATTCATCGATATAAGTGGAATATTCACATACAATTTTAGAGCTGCACTAATATTTGTTAAAAAGTTACGATCGAAGAAAAAATCCACAATTAAATGCACAAAAAATGCATTTTATGACAAAAAAAAAATAAAAACGATGTATTTTAGTCATTTCTATACACATGAAGTAATCAGATGAAAAGGATTTAAAATACTGTTGCAAACAGGTAGTTGGAAAAATACTAAAAAAAGGGACGTGTGGCCTTAAACATCGAATATATATGTATAATCAGTCACACAACAGAAAATTATAAAAAAAGTTAAAAATATATTTAGAAAATGCCAACTAACCACAATTCTGCACGTACCTCGCATTTAGCGACAGTCGATAGAAAAAAGTGTCATTTATTGCTATTTATAAGTCATCCTCATTCCATGGGAATTTTCAACGATGTACTTGTGCGAACCACGTGACATCGTGACTAGCTAAACACAATGAAATTGCAAATAAACTATACAAAAATATATGAATGGCAGCAAAAAGTAGAATATAACAAAGTTATATTTATATAATATAATCAACAAACTTACAGTCAACAATAATTTAATATTGGATATGCAGAAGGGACCATAAAGTACTTGGTAACTACGTAACGGTTTGCGGGGAGGAAATAGTCAACGAGATGTCACGCTGTACTAAGAGTAAGCCGTCATATACCGTCACAATGCAAAAGTTACGATTGGAAAAATATCCTCATGTACTTACTCACTCACTCAAGAGGACATTTTTGATGTAATGAATATTATCTCAATAGCCTTGCAGACAGCCACTAAGGTCACATGTGCAGTTTAAATGTGGCACATTGTTAGGCACCTATAGGAATAAGTAAAAAATCAGGTCACACAATAAAAATTGAGGTCGCGTGGCAGCCATATAAAAATGGTCGCCAGTGTGTAAAACGGTTTTTTAAGGCAAACGTATGATCATGATGAAAATATTTTGCGATTTGGTCGCACACTAAGGTATGACCACGATTCCGCTCGCGTGATATTTTTTCAAATACTCTTCTATACATTTTATCAACTTCCTGAATAAAATTGAAATCACATATTGGTACACACGTCACATCACTGTAGTGCCTAGTCTTATGGTCAGAGAAAGATTTGGAAATGCTTAGTGTTATTTTTTGGCGAAAAATGCCTCAAGGAAGTAACTGCTCGAAATTGGTTTTAGCTCTACCAAAAAATGGATCATTCTACACCACGCATGTCTTCGAAAAATGATAAGAATTAATGGCCCTAGTATAAAGGGTGTCCGGTAATTAGTACGACAAAAAAATAGGGACGATAGGCGAAGGTCAGATGTACAACATACCAAAAAAATCATTCTAGTAAAAGTTTCACTGTTTTCGAGATATTAATTTTTTTGTCTCTATTTTTTTAATCTATCTTTTGTTGCTGTTTTTTTGGCAAAATATTCTCAAATTGTTGGTTTGGCATTTAAATATCATATTCGATGAATTAAAGTAGGTAAACTTGACAAACTAATTTATTCTTCGTAATTTTTATTTTAGAAAACTGTTTCACTCAACTTTGGTATTCAACAATGAAACAAAAATGTATTAGACTGCTACTGCAAAGTACTGCGATACATTACCTGCTTAATCAGCAACAACAAATAGATCAAAGGAGGAAATTTTTCGAAAAAGACAAAAAACTAATACCTCAAAAACAGTGAAACTTTTACTAGGGTCATTTTTTGGTATGTTTTAGACCTGCGTTTCGCCTATGTTCCCCATCTTTTTTGTCGTACTATTTACCGGACCCTGTATATCTCAATAATTATTGGATCAATCGATAAATGTGTATTCAGAAAGTATGTTTGTGTTTAAAAAAGAAGTAAAATGAATCAAGAAAAATTCACGGTCCACTGGTTACAAATATTGTGCAATCTGGCGGCCATTTTTATCGCTAACCCAGTGTTTCACATATTCCCTTAGGTGCTTAATAATGTGACTGGTCCTAGACTGAGAAAGACAACTGTCTTTAGTATTGGTGAAAACAATACTGGAAACTAATTTTTACTTAATCAAAACTGGACCGTTCTCCCATTTAAAATAGCAATATTTGAGTAACTATATAATTTGATAAAAATTGAAAACCTTTTTATAACTACTATATTATTAAAAAAATGTAATCACAAAATATTTTTGTTCTTAAAAATTTCGGCCAACTGATTATGAATATATGTTGAATAATTTACATCATGGTGGACATTTATGAGTATGGCGGCAAAACGATCACGATTTGGATCGCGTGACCTGATTTTTTATATACTCCTAAAAGTGCCTAATAATGCCCCGCATTAAAGCTGGGGACATATAACGCCACATTTGATTTTTGTGGCTGCTTCTAGCTTACAATGAAATTATCTATTGTGTTAAGCATTCCATACCTTTGCACTTCAACTTACGGTCCCTATAAGATGATCGACAATAATATCATTGGAATATGTTGGAAAAGATCCAGTTGTATTTCTACATGCACTTATCCTGGTTTGTGCATGAAGCCCAGCATATCCAATTTCAACAGTAAAAATCACTTTAAAAACAATAAATCAGGTTAGTGATTAGCATAACATATCTAAATATAATTTTAAGAGCTGAGACATGCCCTAAACTTTATATACATCTTTCGTTCGTCAGCTGTCTCCTTTTTCCAATTTTCACATTATTGAGGTAATAGCGAAATTAAATATATTTCAACGTTAATTGGATAGTAATGGAATTTCTCGAAATTTCAAATCTACATGCTAAGAAAGCAGACATTGTACTCTTGACGAATATTTCGAAATGCCTTTTTAAAAATTTTGTGGTCCCGGTACAATGCGGATTATTTTGCCGTATTGCAATGTTTGCTATTCCCTTCGAAATAAAACGATTGTGTTGATTTGAGAGACGCTCGCGTAAAATCAGCATAGCAAAATTGTCACCGTAGGTATTAGGTACAACTACACTCGTTTTTGACAACAAATTTTCACGAATATACCATAAATTATAGCGGTGATCTTGGACTACCGACATAGTTAATGTTTTCTGGAGCTGAGTGCTAGAAAAGATGGGATTTGGTTGAAAGTGTTGTCTGCCTGTTTATACAATAGACATCAGCTATGAAATTTGAAAAAAGAGACAGATAATTCGCAGAAAGATGCACAAGCGTAAAATGTCATTCACGCATTATACCTAACAAATTATAAAAAAATGATTGCACGTAGATCGTTAACAATGAGGAGAGCTTTGAAGGAATATAGTATAGCGAGATTGTTACAGTTTTGTATAAAAGTTAAGGGACGCCATATGAAATTTTTGATATTCTTCTAAAGTTCCTTTTTGGTTGAGATATTACCTAAGAATTAAACTATACCATAATTATATGTATATATTATAGAGTAAATTTACAGATTTAATATGATTAATAGATATATAATTTAACGCTCTGGCACCCAAGAATCATTCATACAACTCCACGTTTGGGGAAAATGTTATCTTTATACAGGTGGTCCGAGCGATCGTTGCAAATACAGGGTGGTGGTAACATATTAACTATTCCAAGCAGGTTTGTTGCTATGCTACCATATGTGATCTAGGAAAATATCATGCATAAATTTACATCAAAATATGAAAATCAGAACTGGCGCATAAAACCCTGCAAGACAATCGCGATAATTGTATGGGACTTTAGGGCTGATTAGATGAATGAAGTAAAAGGATCTAATCACATTTGGCGTGCTAGTGAAAATCCGATGATTTATTTCTGGATCAACGAATAAATAACGAGACGATTCACATCACAGTGAGAAACACTGGTAAATTTTATACACTGGGACTGGTAGGGAAATAATGACATATTTACGCGGGATAATTTTCAATAAAGCGAAAATAAATTGCTAGTCACCACCATATATTTCCACCGAAACGTGAACCACCTTGACTATTACACCGCAATGCATAAAACTAAGATGGTGATCGAGATTCTTACTATTTAATGCACTTTCGTGTAGATAAAACACTGGCTTGATAAAACACCTATTTGTACATTTATATACATGCACGCTCTATCCTTAAGGCTCCTCAGTATATCTTTCTATTGTTCCGCAAGATGCACATTCGTAATTGCATCACAACTCATTTATTTTCAGAAATATAGACAAGGAGTTTGAGCAAGGCTTCAATGATGAGACACATTTAAATCTTTCTTGTTCTTGTTATGTGTAAGAAATTTTTTTCCGAAAAAATATAAAGCATTTCTCCCAATTAAGCTATTTTATCTTTCACATGGACAAATCTAGTGTTTATATAAAAAATAAATGAATTACGATGGGACTACGGATGTATGTTTTACATAGAGATATATAGGGGTACCAGGGAGCCTTAACGTCTTACCCAAACGAGAAGTGGAGGTATTAATATTAATAATTTTAATAGTATTAACACAATTTGTACAATGGTAAAAATAAGTACAACTCGTAGCAAAGACGTGTAATTTTTTCACCTAATATTAAATCAAATACTTTGTTTAATATTTAATAGAGATAGAGAGAAAGATATATATGTACTTATTTCTCACAATTACAGTTTTTACTTATTACTCGGCAATTAAATATTTATAGCAATATTGTTAACCAACAACTAAGAGTAACATTGATCTAAATTTCATCATCTCTTCACAAAATTATTGGTTTGGGTAGCTGAAAATGTTAACTTTACTTAGAATACACAATAAGTTCTTACCTACAATCGAACGTAATGTTCTAATAACGTAATGGCTAAACAATGAGTAGAAGAAAAATGCCGGTTCTCAGATCTCGAAGTTCAAACATAGTGAGCATCTATACGCTGACTACTGGCATCTGTTGAGCAACATAGCGATGGAGGTTTGCTGCATTTTCACCGTGTATTAGAATCAGCGTAAAGGTGACCTTTAGAAAGTATTGAAACCGCCATGTAGTTGACATTCAGAAAGTATTAAAACGCATACATCCCCTACTCCAATGTTCGCTCAGCAATATTTATTTGACCTTTAATGTATATTTCAGAGAAATCTAGAAATCATTTTTCACCACCTTTGTGAACATCTTCTGTAACTCTCGTTATTGTGATTGGTTTCTTTATATACTCCCAAGTCTGTTAAGCAATTCCTCTGTATCATTCTGATATTTCTTAATTTATATGCTGTCTTCGATTCATCTGACGAAAACAGTTATTTTTTAGTGATTACCCTAGTTGTTGGTTAAATTGTTTGAAATTAAAAACACACAGTGAAAATGAGTAACGCGTAACGACGACGGATGAAGAATGAACAATTGGCGACAGGTTATGGCACGTCATATCACTCATTATCTGCTGAGGCTTGAAGAGCCAGCTCTGTGCATGTCACCAACCTCATTGTCAATCAAGACTATCTACAGTATTATGCATCTTATATTCAAAGTAGCAACTGCTCGACATAAGTACGGTTTCAAAAATATGCCCCTGCTAGTACAGAATGATAAATTTACTACGTTCTTAGTTCCTGGACATTGTGGAATACTTAATATTGAAAGAGCCGATCACCAGGCTAGACTGGGAGCTAGAGACTTATGCAGCGGCCCGTAGCCAAGTCACTACTGTCTTGAATGTATGGATATATAGTGAAATGATTCCTGAATCAGACCACAACAGTTTCGATACCAGCATTTACAAGTACACCGTCTTGATTTTCAACGAACTGATTGAAAGGCACGCTTCCTTTAGGTATCCGATATTGCTTTTGATTTCAGAGACTCCAAATGAAGACCGTTCTGTAGTACTTATATAGCCCGTTGGATACACAAGAAGATTGTAGGATGAAACAGTTTGGAAGGCGTTGTTGAGGAGAGTATTACTTTCATCAGGAAGTCGGGTAGGATATACGACCGACGACTGTAATAGCAGCTGATACTTTGAAGGTTACAATTTAGCTATCTAGATTCGATTTTTCTTTTCGCGACCATAACTAACTACTTATTTACCCACACAAGAGACTGGATGCTTCACATGTAAGTCTTGGTAGTGACCAGACATCACCACAAGACAACAGAGATTCATTGGTATTAGATTTTTACGTTCACATACTACCATGTCACCTCGTAGATATGGAATGTAAGATAACGTACCGTCATCTAAAAGCTACTATATATTCTAAACATGTCTTTTTCGGAGTTAGTTTAATATCCTTTTTAAGCCCACTAGTCTTATATCCGATGAGTATTTTTCTAAACAACTTTAGATCCAGCTAATTAGTTGCAGACTCAACACAAATATCCATGTTTGACACCACACTCTGGATCTGGATGAACAAAAACTAATACTTCTTCGGCCCTGGTTAAAATTCCGTGCATATCAAAGTTTGGTAATAGATAAATACGTTGAAGTAGGGCATACCTATCGACATCTTGCTGGAAATAATTTGATAGCTCCGTACGTCTCCTTATAGTGACTAACGGGCAGCAATACACTCCAACTAGTCATCAGTTTCAACAAGCATTTTTGATAAGATTGATGAGGCAAAAAATCTACTTGTTGTCTCTATTAACGAACTTTGCTATGGACTGTACTTGAGCCATGAGTATATGGGACTAGATAAGGTGTTACAGCATCTGAGTCTTAAAGATCTTTCAGGAAATTATTTGTAAAATTTTCAGTGTGTATTTAGACAAAAGAATATATTCAAAATGGTTTCGAGATGATGGTATCTATTAGAACCGGACTGGAATGTATCGATGAAGTAAAATGAATTTGACGAAACGCGACATATTTTGCACATACAAACAGTGAATCGAGATGACACCTAGAGAGTACGATACAATCAAGGCCGGTTCCAAGGCCTATCCTAGAGGTGACATGGCAGTTGTTCCGACAGATTTAAGCAGACCAGCTACTTGTTCTAAGTATATGTTTGACGTATTCGCAACGAGCCTGTCGTCTTTGTAAATATATATAATATGCGTTTATATATTCTAGTAAAGATGTACAACGTTGAAGGGAACGCCACTCTGCTTTGGAAAATAGCTGATCCATCGTGTGAAAGCTGAAACAACAAACATATTTCTGTTGACAAGGATATCTACAGGAATGAACAGAACAACCGACAATCCGTATAAAGATTGAGGCTAACATATTCCATTCTTCCTCATGACTGATCGGCCTGCTGTTCAAGAGTCTGTACAGAACAGAGGTAACTTTTCTTGCAAGAATTGAGGTTTCCTCGTGACTTGGTGCCATGTGGGAGTAACACATGGCTAGATTCTTCCGGAAAAATGTTAGAGCATAGAGGAAACATAAAGATAAAATGCTTCAATTTGAAGATGGCCAGTGATCCCAGTGAGGTCAGCACTGAAGAAGGTCTTGGAGGCGATTTTATGTGATAGATTTACAGTTCTTGGAAAAGGGGTCTTCATTCAAAGCAACAGACTGCCTGGCAGTAGCTCTATACTGTGAGAAAAAGATTCAACGAAGTCATCACTAAACTCAAACAACTATATGATTTCGATGTTTGTTCTTGTGCGATATTCGTTTGTTTACTGAGCCTTTGGAATGCCTCAGCTGTTCTTCATTTCTTTCACAACCATACATGGGCCTTATGACGCTCTTATAAATCATGATCTTAAAATTTTTTATGATTCCAGTAGTGATCCTTGCTCCAAGATACAGCGCTCAACCCTGTGAAAGTTATTGGGGTCTATTGTTAAATTTGGCCCTGTTCTGTTTGTTCTTCCTTGTCTGTATTTGGTTTTATCATGATTATATCGTAACACTAGCACAGCCATTGAGATGGGCTGGCCACATTCAAAGATTCATCGGTTGTCAAGGTTGATCTTTGACGAAGCACCAGATGGTAAAATACCTCTAGGTCATCCCTGTATGAGATGAGGGATAAAGTTAAACCTAGCAGAAATAAAGAAATAAACTGGAACTTGGACACAGGCTTGATGGAAGGTCACACCAGATGAAGTCAAACTGAAGTTAGCCCAAACCCACCCGAGGTTGTCGTGCTGTTCGTCCAAGCTTGATCAGTCTTGAAGCAGTCATTTGAAAATGCCGTAAAGGTCTAAGTGCAAAGGCAAGTTTGTAGCTTCCAAGGAAGATCGTAAAGATTCCTTGTTACGCTGCGTTTCTGAAGACTTGAAGGCACCAAGAGGCCTTGCAAAAATATTTCAGGAAACGCTAGGAAACACTGAAGAATGGAAGGTCCAGAGACCATCACTGAATAGAAAAACCTGAAAGTGGAAATAAAGTAATCGCAAGTTGTGGGACGACCAGCAAGATCTGAAACGCTAATTGTACGACATCCAGAATTTGAAGATCTCTATGTAAGACTGCGGACCTGGACTGGAGAGTTGTAAGAAAGCCATATATAATAGACAAAACGATTACCTCTTACTTCCAACAGAACTTGCGCGACAGAGGAGAAGCTATCTATTCGAACCGCCATGACCGAGTTATAGATATTCTACCACGATCACTTCCGAGGAGGAGCCAGTGGATTGGGAGCGCCATGAATATGGAATAGTCCGGCCAAGGGGTAATCCGCTGGGGATGCTTAGCGTCTATATGTCCTCGGATGGTTCCAGGAAAGAGGATGTCTCTTGTACGAACTTTGTCCAGCGTTTTACCCCCTGTTCGGCCTATTTGTCGACATTGAAGCGTACTTACATGCAGATGGCTGTTGCAGTGATGTACTTAACCGGTAAGTTCAGCTCACGAATGTGCATTGGACTGATTGGTGTGATTGTGGTCCTGTGGCGTTTCTTCTGCAGGGGAGGGGGGAGCGTCCTTCCTTGGTGGCATGCGTTCGTTTATCGCGTCCAACCCTTTCGCTTCGGCGAAGCTGGTGATTTTATGGTTCGGCGAGAACCCTTGTAATGCTATAACAAAAATACTCTTACTACTATCACATAGCTTACTGGAATCAACGGATGACACCATTACAATTTTGGAAGTCTAAGCATATTTTCCTGCGACCTGAAATTGGTTAGGCATATCCTCCTCTTGAGAAATTCGATCAAATTCCTGGGAGATATGCTTTTCAGTAGATGGTATCACTGCCAGAGACAGAGAGGCTCCGCGCGACATAGGCCGCTTTACAGTTAAGTTCCAATGTCAGTTTTGGAGCGTCGTTTGGCGCGTTTAGAGTGGCGTGCGTGCTTGGAGCGAAAACACTTGGCACTTTGTACAAGAAATGTGACAACGTTCCCGGAACGCGCTCCAATTCTGCGTGTTTGGAGCGTACATGCCAAAACCGTACGTCTAAACACAAAACCCCACAGTTTTGGAGTGGCGCGTTGTGTTTCTAACTGATTGATGACGCCATCGCGCTGCGCCATTTTCAACAACATGTTTAAGAAAAACTTAAGAGACCAGACGATAGCTTGAGCTGCAACATATGGATATATTAACACGGAAACCAAAATAAAATACAATTTTTTGTAAAAAAGTGGCGAGAAAATGGAAAATTGCTCTAATACTTGATAAGCAGTGTTTTCTAAGCTTTTGTTTTCATAGTCTTCACTTTTTACCTGCCATCAGCAAGGATGGTCCCTAAGTATACTAATAAATTTTTCTAAGTTGTCTCTCGTTCACGCCATTATAATATTTCAAATTTCGACAGAGAATCCACCAGAAACCCAGGTGCCGGGCTTGCTAGTCCAGGCGTGTCTGTGTAAATGCTGGCCGGTGCGCGCTCCACGTCTGCCTTTCGTTCTGGCGATCCACGCGACGTTCCACGCATCAGCGGCTGAGCATTTACAGGGAAGTGTTGGACCGAGAAAATTGGCGCGTGAGCGCCAAAACTGTCGCAAAAACCGTACGTGTAAAGCGGCCGAATTTCTATAAGCAGACAGAGAAACCAACAATAGGTTTAAGTGCTACTTGACTATGTGTATTTCCGCCAATCAAATGCTGAATAATCAATAACTAATTCGCGAGTCAATCAACTTTAACAACTAAAAATGTATTTACCATTTTTGAGACTCGTTTTGCCTCCAGACAGTGCACCCAATGGTAAAGCTCCTGTAGGTGTAAGTCCTTTCAGCTGTAAGACAGATTCGCTTTCCTCTCTGAAAAAAGTTAAATGAGTGAAATATTATAGCATACTCAAATTTATTCATTTGTAAGTGTTCTTGCAAATTTATGAATTATAGTCGGACCTGGAGTTTCTAATATTGAGAAACTCTCAAACGAAATTATCAGGTGTAACAGAATCATTAAGCTAATGAACATCTACAAATACATACCTTAACACAGAAAATACTCTGGCCATCTTTCCAATAGCTCGGATCTTGTTCCGTATAACTTCCTTCCGGAGATTTGCTGCTGCACCTTTAAAAAATTAAAGTTGCCTTTGCAATGCTGGAGAACATGTTAAGAAATTTAAAATATAATCGTTACTGAGTGTTGTGACGCTAAAGATGTTTTTGGTATACTGTATCGATACACGAATTGAAAATCAGAAACTGCTTTGGAACAATTGCATTTTATGGAATATCAATTTCAATTTTTAAACCTAAGTATAAACTATACATACTTTTTTTGTAAATTGGTCGAAAGGAAAAATTAATAAACCGATGAATTAAATCAAATAATATCAGCACAAATATTTACAAATGTACTGATTCCTTTTCATTTTCGTTCAATCGTGAATTCGTAGTAGCAAGTAGTAACGAAGTTTGGATATGTCTGCAAATATTTGATAAAAACGTATCAAAGAATAATTTTCCAATTTTGTAACCTCAGCTACATCATTTACTTTTACCTTTGAAGGTTAAGATCAAACATACTTTCATTTTTACACAACATCCTAAAGCAGTTAGTGGGTTTAAGCAGAAAGTGCAAAATTCAGAAAAGTGGTTGTAAGCAATATAAACAACACGTTAGCTGACAAAGAAATGCCTTTAACTTATTACAGTCAAAAGTCGTTGGAAATGCAGTATCATGCTGCAATAGCAAATGAGCTGTTTCTGAATGCACAGGAGTACTGTTGACCACGTGGAATGTAGATGTAATAGAAAAATTGGAAAATAATTCCTTTTGTATTCATAATTTTCAAGTTCTTTCAATTTTTGGTAACAACTACATGTGTTGTTTGTAATTTGTCTGCAACGTTTCCCATAATCAATTTTAATAGTAAGATGTTTTCAACAGTACTAATAAGCAGTTATGTAAATGATATTAGGAAGTTCATCAGGAAGATAACTTTGCGTAATAACATGAAGTCCGCGTTTATATAAATAATCTCCAAGATGCACTAGATTGTCCAATTTATATATAAACTAAATTACAACAGATTCTACTGGTTTATGGTTTTCTTTCAACTTCCAAATTATACCGAATTTCCTCGACTTTTCATGCATCCTCTCGTAACATTTCTGCGCGAGTGCCCTAAACGGTTGCCACGAATAGATGATATTTTTATTGATCTATTAATCAGATAACCCAAGGACTAAGACACCGCAATGGTCTGTCAGCATTTCGCTAGCTTGTGACAGTACCTATAGTCTGACAGCTGTCCGATGCCACGGCATGCCGACGCTTTTGTTATCTCTTTCTCTCTCCTTGCATCGCACAGTGGTCTAGAACACCGAGTACTATAGTGTTTCTTTGCATCGCTGATTTCAAATATGAGGTTACTTTGTCTCTATGAGGAGATTTGAAGGTCACTTCAAGGTCATATCAAGGACTTTTTCAAAAGAAGCCGAGCGGTTGGTCAAAACCGCATGTCATTTAGGTTTTTCTATTGATTAAGTCTGAATCAGAGGTCAATTAGTGACTATGAAGGTATCTGAAGATCACTTCAAGGTGACTTCAAAGACAAATTCAAAATAAGTCCAGCATTTGAGTCCAGACGTGTGTCAGTTTGTATCTAGGAAGGCACTTCAAGGGGACTGCTCAAAGCACGAATCCGAAAAAGTTGAATAACCGTTTCCGACCATCTGCCATTATATTGTAGTATATGAGGTTGTACTTCTCAATAGTTTGCAAACACTAACACTGCAGTTAATCTGGCAGTATTTCAAAGAAGTGAAGCTAAAAGTAGTAATCCACTCAACTCACGGCCTACATGAAAATAACAGTGACAGATTTCTGTCACATCAAATAAAAGTTTGTACTCTCTTTATTGTCATTTATTATCAGATTCTTTAAACGTAGTGCGAATGTACATTACGAACTTCAAGTTTAATAGTCTGCCATGGTGAATGTATATATATATTATATACAGGGTGACTTTGAAGTTGAGTCATTAATTTTCAGATAATGATTGTAGAAGGAAGATAAACCAAAATATGTGTGTAAAAATAAAAAAAAAATTTTACCTTGTTTTATAAAGTATCCTCCCGACAAGTATTTCAGTGCGGACCTGTATTTGATCGTGAGGTCCCCTGTGAGGTCTGAGTCTGAAGTCACCTGATTCACGAGCCCGTTGTACTACTATTAACAAAGGCACGAGGGGTTGGTTGCACTCGATTGGGAAACCGATCCGCATAAACATGTGCCATTTTTTATTTCGTTTGAGCCACGCAACAGATACTATTCACACGCGACTGACACTGATTGTATGTATAACTGAACTGAATAAAGTAAACATCGTTCCAAATTCTTTCGCTTTTTTGTTTCCGATGCGATGAACCGATAAGGTGGATTATATCCGTTGTTGCCAAACACCAGCACATGATGTTATTGAGACAGGGCGGTACTCAAACTTCCAAAGGGCTATAACTTTGTTACTTTAATTTTACCAGAAAAATGGTAAAGGAAAAAAACATTTCTTTTGATCAGATCTACTCACTGTTAAAATAAATGACTCAACTTCGAAGTGTATATATATAATAGTATAAGCACCGTTCTGATTCCATGGCCAACTAATTGTTTAACTTTAGAAATATCATTTCGATACTTTGTTTTTGTTTCAATTTTTGCCAGGTTTCAACATAGATAGACCACTGTGCATCAGAGACCATGATGTTGCCACGGCAGGAGGCGTTGATATACCGCGGCATTCCTCGAAATGTCGCAAATTCCAGCTGTCAGGTTACCATGGAATGTCAACGGATGCTAGCTGTATTCGAGAGAATTTTTCTCATCAGAACTTTCTTGCCGTCCCATACTGTGCGACAGTCCTGAGAGTTTCAAATTACTATAATCTATTCAAACAGCACTGATTCCACGTCAACACATGTATACCATATTTCACGAGTATTCATCACGGTAGAATGACAGCTGACTAGTAATAAATCAAAATTCCCCATATCGACACAGGAAACATAATTCTGACGGATCTGCCAACGTCAGGAGGTCAGAACTGTATTTTTTTTATTTAGACAAGTTAATTTGCTTACAAAAAACAAAACGCTACAAACAAGTTTTACTGGATTTACACCCGATTCATTATTGCCAATGTCGCAGACTGTCACAAAAATGTCACTTGCTGATCACCTGTTCACCTCAGTAGACGTCAAAGCGTGACGGATACTCTTGAAATAGGGTATACACCGATCGCCGCCTAATTCTCTTATTGCCCAGGAGCTCATGGTCCGCTGGCCAAGAGGAGCGCGCGAACTTGAACACGGTGCGCTAGTGTTTGTTTGTGCTTTAAATACTGTTTAGTTGTGGTTGGTTTAACTTTGATAACATCTAGTTCTGTCGCACCAGAATCTATCGCCGCGGAAAGCGCATAACTCCTATTAGTTGGAACTGTTACGTTTAATAGCCCAGTCACCACGTGACCGCTAGATGGCTGACGATACTGGCTGTAAAGTAAATGTGGTCTACACCATTGGATAAAACTAAACATAAGATGCTTTCTTTCGTCCGACCATAAAGACAGCCAACCATGGACGGCTGTTTCGAGCTTCTTGGCCGCTCATCAGCACATTTTAGGCGAACGAACGCATCATGTTTAGTTTTACCCAGTTCTGTGTTGAGAATGATCCTGGATCAATGAATTGATTATTTATGGAGTCTTAGAGAAAGAGAGGAAATACAAATTATTAGAATCTTCCTGATGAGCTTTTAAGTGTTACTTACCGAAATGGTCGGTTGTCAACCAAGTATGGCGCAGGCGCGGCATCAGCGTCAGCGTTGCAAGTGGCGTCAGCAGGAGCGTCAGGCGTCAGCAGATTCAGCGGCGGGCACAATTTTATTGGACAGGAGGAGGTACAGAGTGACGCAAGTGAGGCGAGCGCAGAAGTATAGAAAAAACCAAACAAATGGTGCATGTAGAAAATATAGCTTCACATTATGAATGAAAACATGTTTTGCTGAGTGTCACAAGCTGATGGATTGAAAAGTGTATGGAGTATCAAGTCTTCACGATAGCCCACAACAAGCCGTTACCGTTTGACCAATGTGATGATTATTTAAAAATAGTTATTTAGGTAAATAGTGCGTAAAGTTATAGCCTGCGGCGTAAAATTAAAGCTCAAAGGTGCAAATATTTCCGTCCTTTAACACGCAATGGGACATGAAAGTTTTTTATGTTGAAGATGGTATATCTACGACCAGGTATAGTTTAAAAATTTGAGGAGCAGTTAGACGAACATAAAATAAACAAATCGACCGTACTATACCACCGGTGGCCAGTAGTTGCAGCCATTAACTAACAACAAATTTATATATGGACACTTATCGTGCTTGATGAGCATAGGTCAATTTAATAACAGTGAGAACTGAAGTTACTTTAGCCCCTTAGAGCAGACGTTGGTTGAAAGTTAGCATTAATATACTATTGTGAAGAGGTGACTTTTACGTTATTCGAGAGTTTGCTTTGCTTGAATTCAAACAATACCTTCAGCTTGTAGGATTAAGCAATTTTAGTTCAGCGATTATAAGATCCTTAGATATAATGTTGCAAATATCTGGAATTTTAGAGTAATTGTACGCTTTTTAATAGGTCACTTATTTTTGAAACCGGTCAAGCTGGCAAGCTGAAATTCGGGGAGATGAAATTGATGCGTGAATACTATATTCTAGCGTGAAAACATTGGATGAAAATTTCAAGCGTTTTTGTACAGAGAGTTGCTTATAATTCTACAAACAATCATCAAAACGCTATATTATGTTATATCAATATTCTTCTCTTGGAAGGATCTATCCGAACAGGTAATAAAATCCGCCATTTTAAAAAGATAGTGATTTTATATCCTAGGGCTATGAAGTACTCATAAGGGGATAATCAAAATAAGGTATCACCTCTCATTTCATTTAAAAAAAATGTTACAAGATGGTGGCTAGCCGCAATTTTGAAATTTTCAACTGTTATTTTCACGTTAAACTATAGAATGTATGCATTTCCATATTCCAAATTTCGTCTTGCCCCGTTCAAA